ATATATATATATTATACACATATTATACATGGATTATACATATTATTTTTAGTTTAAGCGATTAGATAGGCGGCTATTTAGGAAAATTCTTCTATGTTTTTTCAATAGCCACCTTTTAGGGAACGCATTACCGCGTGCGGACTTGGCCTAAAGCAAACAGTATATAGTTAAGACTATTTTTTGGCTGATTTAACCCAAGAGACTGAGCTATTCAAGAACAATAAACTTAATGTTTATAACCAACTTCAACCAATTATTGAGATTTTGGCGTAGGTGATTGATACTCCTAGCAAATTTTGGCTGAAAATATTGAAGGAGAAATGGGAAGAGACTGTAAATGGAAAAGATATTTACCTGTTCCAGGAGCATCAAAGCATTGAATTTTTCCAGTAGTTGCATTTTTAAACCCACAAAGATCTTGTTGTGCTTCACAATCTTGGCAGTTGGGTTCATTCCATGTTAGCACAAGATCAAGATTAAGATCAGTTGAAAAAACTGACTCATATTCAGAAGTCCATGAAACAGGAAGAGACAAAGTACTATTTACACTGCAGTTATATAAACTTGTCATTTCTTTTACAAAACTCCTTGAAGAAGTAGCTAAAGTAGAGGTTGTAGAATTACTTAGACAACCAATAACATTGAAATTAGACTTGATCAAATCTGTAGAACAAGTCAAGAAAGTATAGTTCCGATAAAAAACCGCCTTGAAAGGAGAAGAAGAAGAAGATTGAAAATCAATAAGCCGTTTTGGAAGGCAATTAGATGGATCATAGAGTTGAATTTCTTGTGCAACGTAGTCGATATCACGTACATAGAAATCTCCTGCACCTGCTACATTTAGAATTGCTCTGCCTTGACTGTTGCATGTAAGATTGAAACCAGGATAGCTACAGTGCTGAAGATTTATTGTCCCTTGTAATCCAAAAGGAAATCGTATATCAAAGTGGTTGATTCCACACATGGAATCTTGGCAATCATATCTTGCAATTGCATAGACAGATGCAAAGAGCAGAAAAGAGACAAAGAAGACTTGAAAATTGCCCATATGTTTCAAGAATCAATCTCGATAAGGATACGGAAAGGCCCTTATATTAGAAATATAAAGAGTTCCATTAATTTATTAGTTGTTTCAAAAGTCAAATGTTTGAGTTGCTGTTCATACCAAAAATGTTATGAGCCTGTTCAACAGCAAATATAAAATCCAACATATAAAATAGAGGACAGAGGATGTGACGCCCTAGGTTAACGCAAGAGTTAAAAAAGGTGAATACAATTCCATAAGGACACGTATGAGCCTGAATAAGCAGAACAAATACAAATAATTCATTGATTGAATGATTATTAGCAAATGGAAAAAATTTTAAGTGCTCCATTTCCTTGAAAACACTGTATTCGTAAACTCATACTAGCAAGTAAATGATTAAAAAGTTCCATTAGTTTATCTTTAAGTTGCTTCAATGGATACAAGAAAGCACAAACCATAAGGAGATTAAACTACAGAATATGAACTTTGCCTGTGACTAATGTGAATGGTATTAATAATATATACAAAACGAGAATGGCTTGGCAACAGCATTATATTACATTTGTTTGAATTTGCTAGGTATAACGTGGCGGAGTACCCAATTTGCAACCTGTTGAAAATGGAGCAATTGCATCATCTATCGGGTTATATCTGATATTTGCTAGTATTTTTTTTTTTCTAATGAAGGTTGCAAGTCAACTTGGGCCTACCAAAGGTTAGACAGATAAGAAAAAATCATCTATATTTGCTAACTGATATCGTGGTTTCCCGTGGTCTTCATTCAACTTCATCGACCGTTAGGAATAATAAACTCTGAGTTTGTAGAGAGAAAGATTAAACTTGCCATTATATAGCAAAATTATAAGAGCTGCCCATATGTTCTGATTGAAACAGTTTCACCATTCTTCTCGCACTTCATGGCAGGGAACTTTATGTGAAGACCCGCCATCCTAAATATAATAGCTAGTTCAAAAGAGCAGAGTAGGGAAAGAAAGGAAATGGTGATTTGAAAGGTGTGTAATTAGCGATTAATTGAAAACTTGAGAGAGAGTGTGTGTTTGTGTGTGTGTGTGACATGCTTATCACTTTTGAATGTGAAATTTAAGTACCTTCGTTTTGATTGAGACAAAATATAACCAAGGTATATTTTTTTATTAAAGTTGTATCTCGATCATCAGAAAAAGAATTAATCCAAGAAAAAAGTAGAATACACTATGGGAAAATCGAATCAAAAGATGAAAGACTTTCATATAAATAATGAAAAATTCAATCTTTAGTCATGGGCATGTGAACAAAATATCTGAGGAGAACTAGCTAAGCTTCTTAAGAAGTAAAGAAATTAGCACTGAACCACAATGATCTTAACAAACGTTCTGTAAGCATATGTACAACTTTGAATTGGAACTTACAACATTGATTTCGAAATGCGAAATGTAAACAAATTACATGTGTTATAAAGAACTAAAATGAGCAGGAGAAGGATTGTTTCTGCAAACAGGACAAGTACCATTAATCTTTAACCATTCACCAATACATTCAGCGTGGAAGCAATGTTCACACTCAGGTATGCTCTTAACTGTCTCTTTAGGATTGTATTCCGCCAGGCATATTGGGCAAGTCATTTGATTTGGCCCTGGAACTCTCCTGCTCTCTCCAAGGACTACTTTTGTGTAGGACTCGATTGTCGAATCGTCGAGGCCGGCGGTCACTGCCGGTTGTGGTGCTACGGTTGTTCTGTTGGTGGCGTTCTGGATTGCAGCGGCGGTGTTCCGAACTGCAGCCATGGCGCGGCTGTATCGGCTATAATCCAAGCAGATGTAACATGATACTCCCAATGCACATGTGATAGCTGGAATAAGTAAGGTTAATGCAATAAATTTGGCAATTTGTAGACCCCGGTTGCTGCCTGCAAATGAAATGGTAACTTTAGGCAAAACTGTTGGCATATTTTATTTTATTTTATTTTTATTGAGCCTAAAATTTAGTAACATTGGCTTCATCATTGTTAATAACATTGCTATTATATGAAGTTATTGGACTATTTCACTAATTAATCTTACCGTTTTCGAATTTGATACTCAAAATTATCAGAACCAACTTTTGGTGAGCTTGTCATTGCACCCGTAAGTATCACAATTGAATTACATATACTGCAAGGTGTTGAGTCATATAACATTTCATACAGGATATAAAATGTTATCCAAAAGTAATACTCTATATTTTATATGTCAAGTTAAATCGTTATTTTCTTTACAAGCCAGTGGTACAATCTAAAATCAATAAGATCAATTTATTGAATTGTTACGATCTATACGGAAGTGATAAAATGACATACATGATACATTTTCATCTTCTGCACGATCTCAATCAATCACGATTCGTAAGTTGGGGAATAATCTTAGCCACTTAAATAGAAGTCAGCTTCTCCATAAGGATTGACATTTGACTACTGTATTAAAATAAAACGGGGGCAGCCTGGCCTTTCAAATTTGTCAAATGCACTTATTAACGTTGGTGGTGAATACAAAAATGGGTGAGAGACAATCCATACAAGATTCAAACATCATGATTAGTATTATGCTTTAGTTTATTTCCGCATCACCTTATAAACCGACCTTACTCAAAAAGCTCACCTAAAGCTATCCTTTTCCATTCCCTTATAATATCCTACGAAATCAAAGTCAAAAAGTCCTTTAACCACCTTGATTATTTTCTTCGAATACTCTCACCTATCCTTGAGCTTCTCCTACGTGATTGCCTAGTATAGTTTGTCCTAAGCTAGATCTTAAAAAAAAAAAAAAAAAAAAAAATTAAATTGGTT